ACTAAAGTATAATTTAGCAAATTTTTATTTATTATTACTCTTTTCAGTTTCTAGTTATTTGAGTGACTGTTGTGGATTTTTGCCTTTTTCTTTAATGGACAGGGATGAATACATTTGACTGTAAGTGTCACGGTCTTGCCACTGTTTCTAAAATGCAGAATTTGCATATTTACGTGTGACCCATTTAAAATGCTGTAAATGACGAGACGGGAATGTGACAGATTCTTTGAGGGAATTACGTCCTGACAGAGACTTGGGTGCTTTCGTTTCTGCTCGTCAAGTGACTGGCGCTGAGCGATAACATACCTGCTGATATGAACCAGCGGGATGACTTGACGCTGAAACGTATCTCACTCTAATCAACCCTGCAGGAGAACTTGTTGCTCATATTCCAGCAGAAAATAACAGAAAATTATGTCTAATGGTGGGGAAAAAAAAAAACCACAACCTGTGCTTGACCCTCTACCTCTGTTGACGGTGTGCAGACTCACGTTAGAAGAAATGTAAAGATGACAGCAGTAGCCTAGCAGCAGCACACACAAACATTGGCGTTATCCAGCGAGCGCTCTTTCTTTCTTTCTTTCTTTCTTTCTTTGCTGTGAACCTGCTCCCCTCTCTGACGTCTGCTCTGCTGACAGCACTCGGAGGAGCGAAAGGGGAAAAAATGCCAGTGGTTCCTGGAAACTTGCAGGACCACATGAAATTGTAGTGGCATGCGCTGGGGTATGAAGGCAATAATTAAAGCGTGAGAGGATATAATTAGATCTGTAAATGTACTAATCTACAGTTGCACTCGCTGAATCCGAGCTGCGGAAGCCCGAAAGTGGAAACTACGGTTTAGCTCTTTGTCCCGCATGACTTGTTTTTTTTTCCTCCACAGTTTCAGATCATTAAACAGAAAAGGCCGTTACCCAGCATTAAAAACAAATCATTAATACTGTGTTGTTGGATCCAGTCAGTATTTATTTCAGCTGAGTCGAGTTCATAAACTTGTTGGCAAAATGCTCTTCGTAAAAACATGTGAAACGTGCACAACTCGTCTGTTTGCACCCTTTACTAGCACCGAGCAGCTGTCTAAGAAGTCTTTTCCTCATCTATCAGCGCTTAAAATAGAGCCAAGTGTTTAAAAGTATTAAGGAGGAGGTGAAGAGCACAGCAGAAAACACGCTCAGATCACAGAGACGCCTCCGTGCCCTGCATATCTAACACACCCATAAGAAATGGATTTCCTCCCAACTCGCCGAAAGGCATGTTTGTGAGAATGCAGAAGATTCTGCTGCTGCCGGTTTTAGATGAGAAGATGCAGATGTGCAGGCTGGTATCTGACGGGCGTTACGTACATCAGCTGGGGTTTGAACCTGTGGATGAGGGCGCAGAGGGCGATGCCGCTCTTCCACGAAGACGTCAGGTCGGTGACGCTGACGTTCCTGTAGCCCTCCGTCTGCTTCTGGCACCAGGTGAGAAGCCTCGCCGGCCGGATCTCCGACTCTGCAGGAGAAACACGAAAAGGCAGATTTATTTATTTATTTTTTATTAAAACAATCAAATTCCTTAAATAACTTATCGGAGGAATGCAGGGTGTGTTGGAAAAAACTCTCTCACGCAGGCCCCCGAGGAGCCGAGGAGGACGCGATGCCACAATCATGCACGAACAAACACTGAGCTGCTGAATAAGGTCAGGAGAGAGAAAGAAGTGGGAGCTGCTGAGGTATGTGTGCGTTTCTGTCTGGACATGCACCGACTCAGGACAAGTCGCTCCACGTAAGGATACAGTCAAACCTTAAACACATGTTATACAATTATACCCACAAATATGGACAAATGTTTACTCTTTTACATCTTTACACTGCACATACGTAGGTTTCCAAACTATGCGAGCAATTGTTTTCTCTTTTTTTTTTTTTAGGGTCATTTTAAAGACAGGAACATAGAGTCATGTTGAACTTGGAGAGGGAGATATGTGTGTTTGACTGTTCCTTTCACTGCCTGGCAGCTCTTCTTTCAAAGCTTCCTCCTCTCAGTGAACCCACATGTGAAAACAAACCTCAGATCGTGACTTACTGCCTAAACTGAAGTTAATTCTGGTAACTTACTGTTTCTGTTAGACACATGGGAAAGCAAAGGAAAGCAAAGGAAAGGGAAAGGAGAGCGGCAGGCCACAGTATTCACATAAGAATCCTTTCAGAAGACAGGAAACCCTATCAGTCGGATCGCCTCCCTGAATATCACAGAGATGAGTCAGCGGCAGCGTTCTGAGCGACACTTGCCTCGCCTGGAGAGGTTGACGGGCCGTCGTATGGTAGCAGCGCGCTCCAGAGAGCAGGTATGAAGCTCCCCGCTGATGTACAAGTGACGCACCTGAACCAGGAAGGAAAAGAAACAATGATCACAACTTACGTAAAGTTGTGCATTCAAAATAAATGCGACAGTCGCTTCCTCTGACCTGGTGGGGCCGGACGCAGGAGGAGTTGAGGTTTGGGTATCGGGTCCCCGGGTCAATCGTGTACTGATCAAAGTTTTTGGCGATGTTTTCAGGGGTTGTTTGTGGCAGGAGTCGGTAAATACTCTCCCTGTGGAAACACATAGTTTAGCCCAAACTCACTTTGATAAATACGCAACCGCACGCTACATTTCCTCAACGTGAGCGCACCTCTCTGCCAGCACTTCCAGAACCGTGCGACCCTGAGCCCAGCTCTTCACCATCCAGGCGGTGTCGAAGGCCGCCAGGAAGCCTCTGGCACAACCCGTTCCCATCGGCCAGAAGGGCTGCACGGAAACACAGAGCAAATACACGAAAATATAAATAGAAGCGCCATTCATTGTTCTGCACACGAGAAGACAAAACACCTCTTCATTATTTTAAAGTATCAAAAGCACATCTGCAAATGTTGTGGTTCGACTGAAAACCAAATACGGTCGCACGTATCGCAGCATGGTTCTGATATGAAGCAAAACAAAAGGTGTCCTCGTAACGACAGACAACTTATACAGTCAGACAAGCATTACAGAGGCTCGAGGAAATAAGTGCACCATAGGGACTGATTAGTAAAAAAAAGTCATGTTTGAGTAGTGCAGCAGAGCTTTTGTTAGTGGAGGTGAAGTGCATTTTGTGAGAGTATATATATTTTTAAAAAAAATATCAAAGCATGCAATAGAAATAAGACTTTAAGGGGAAGAAAAGAAACATGTGGATCAATAAGAGAAAAGAGAGAAGGACTGACATGTCATTGTTTTTCTCAGTTTTTTTTAGACTTGTATGGAATTTGGAAAAACGTGTTTTCAGTCATGTTTTCCTTTTAAAGCCACATACCACAGAGCTGACTGTCAGGCTTCTAATATTTTTTGACACACATTTCTAATAATACCTTTCTGTGTGACCGCACACATCAGCACCACCACCGTCATCATCATCATCAAACATGCACAGAGAGAAGGTGGAGCTACCGACAGACTGCAGCAGGAACCTCAGTCACAGCTGCCATTACAGCAAAGAAACGCCGTCTCTTCGCCCGACATCATCTGGAGGAATTTAAGCCTTAAAGCCAAGACTGCCAGATTGCGTAACAGCTTCTTTTCCCAGGCAGTCAGCGCCTGAGCCGAGCTCACGTGACTTTACTTAGTCAGTCGCGCCCTTCCTCACCTCCAGCAGACTGTCGCCGACCAGCGCCACCAGGAGCTGGTGTCCAAATCTCTCCCTGACCAGAGCGGCGTTCTCAGAGGCGTACATGTTTGTGAAGTCGAACATGGCTACATCTGGCTGCCCGAGGTGGTTCATGGCAAAATCCAGCGTGGGAAGCTGGTAGTTGGTGCCAAAGTCAGCAGCCTCTCGGGCGTAGCACAGGAGAGCTTCCTGGTTGACATTTTCGCTGCACAGCAGCATCTGGGTGTCGATGTAATCCTGTTGAACAGAAGCAGGCAGGGGAAGAGTGAAGCTGCAGTTCAGCAGAAGAGATCAATGCATGTCTGATCTGCTTTGTAGAAACGCTAAAGTGAAATAAAATCCCTGAAGTAGAGAATATCAACGATTCTGAAGAAATATGATAAACTTGAATGTAAACACTCATTTTAAATCCAGACCTCTGAAGCCTCTGATGCTACAAAAGAGCAATTAGGTGGAACAAAATAAAAATTCAGGCTGGATATCAAGCTAGCATGCTAAGCTAATGCACTTTTTCTAGTTTTCTCCCAACCAGCATTTACAACATAATCCAACAAAGTTCAGTTCAGTGAATTTAACACCTTTACTGAACAAAAACAAAAACACTAAAGATTTAGATTATCTGAAGGGCTGCTCTATTTGGTTCATGATATTACCCCCTGATACTCTGACACAAAGACATTAACTATGCTAAAATCAGCTGTTAACTTTTAAAAATAAAATGGAAAGCAAATATATGGTTTGCACTTACATGGCACTTTTATCCAAAGCGCTTTACAATGTGTTTCTCATTCACCCATTCACACACACATTCATACACCAATGGTGACAGAGCTTCCATGCAAAGTGCTGCCTGCCATTGAGAGCAACTTCGGATTCAGAGACACTTCGACTGTGGAGGGGCGGGGATCCAACCACCAACCTTGCGATTGGAGGACAACCCGCTCTACCACCTGAAAGACAGCCGCCCAATAATATATATAAAACAAGAGCTAATTTATTCTGCTCACATTAATGACGACTCCCTTGTCCAGCAGGCTTTGTTTCTTGGCGGTCATGACAAAGTAATGTGTGTTGTCCTTGTAGTACACGATGTTCTCCAGGTCGATACCTGCAAGAAATCAGTTGGCTTCGGTGAGGAACTGATCAATACGTTATTTCAGGCTTGCTGTTAACACAAGGAGACGAACGTTTGCAGTAAAAACAGAATCCTGCTGTTAAAATTTGGACAAACTCCGACTCAAAGCTTGGTTGAAATGTCTTTGTTTATGTATGTTTTCCATATGTTTAAATAAAAGAGTGTTCATAGATTGTTTTGGGCTGCATCAGAACTAAAGCGACATATTTTAAATTCACTTCATTGAGAATTTTCAAAAGAATCTGGCCTCATTTAATAAAAAACCCCAATGAGACATCCCACAGCGGTGAAAGCTTCTAGTGTCTGAAGAGCGTTGTAGGAACATTTAGAGGGAACCCATTAATCTCTTTGTCTACAGAACACACTGTTGTGTCGACTGCTTGTTTTGTGTCTGTTGCTGGAGGTTGAGAAAATCAGCGATTACATTTAGAGAAAGCAGAACAGAAGCACAAAACCTTAAGCAACCCCAGCCACTGACAGAACTTCCTGGTCAAGTATTTTCTCTCTACTGGGGATACTGTGCAGAATATTCCTGTGATGGTTTTTTCTATCCCACCTGTCTCCTCTTTGAGGTCCAGAAAGAACTTCTGGTTGAAGATGAAGGCCACGCCGCTGATCTCCTCCACTTTGGCCTCTGCAGTAGTGTTCCTGTTGATGAAGTTGGCGGTGATGGCGATCGCCAGTTTGCCCCTGAATTCCTTCCTTTTGAAACCTGGGAGCAAGAGAGCGGCGGACGGAGAGGGAGAATGAAACGGGGATGCTGAGCTTCCCAAGCGATCCAGTCCTATCGGCTTGTCTGGTAAAACCAAAGGAAATCTAGCCTTAAACCATAATTACAAGGCAGTTATTTTAGGATAAGAGGCAGCTTACCAAGGTGAGCCTTTATATAGCCGAGGGAACAAAAGCCATGCATTGTGAGAAGAAGCAGAAACTAAATCATTGAATCCATCGTCACACTTAAATGCCTTTTTGCTTAATTAACCTTCAGGACCAAAAGCAGTAAAGAGCCACTTGTGGGACACTTGAACACCACACAAGTCTTTCATGTTATTAATTTATTCACAGTATATGAGCAAAAACAACCTGAACAATAGATTCTCTGATATGTTCAAGGAATCTGATTAAATCTTCAATATAGTGAAGGAGCCAAATAGCTCTCCTGATGACTGCCAATTTCAGCTATTTTGAACGAAAATCAGGGACGCAGGAACAAAAAACTCAAGGGTTCTTTAAACGTTAACTTTCAATTCCCTGAACAAAACCGAAAGCCTCAGGCAGACATCAGACTGGTGGATTTTCAAACTACTTTTTAAACGTGCAAATGAAGGACTTACAAAAAATGTCACTTATCCTACGGCTGTGAACTCATGAAGGCTGAGAGATTAAATAAACTGGTTGCTGACGGCAGAGCGACGTACGAGACGAGGACGGCGCAGGTGTGAAGTAAAGGCCTGACTTCGTACTGTCACTGTTAAAAATCATGTGTCGCCTAATTGCTCTTTTCCAAACGCAGCAACAATCAACAGAGTGCAGCTCCGACTGCATTTAACTCCGTTACAGGCCACAAAAGTAGCACAAAAGCAGGCTGACGGCAGGGAAAAATCATTTCCCCCCGGCTCCTTCATAATTGGGGAATGAGCTAAACGTCTTGTTCTGGCCCGAAATGCCCTTTTTAGGAATAAGCATGTGATGCGAATTGGTTGTTCGATGACAGCATTTTTAGGAGACCGAAACAGTTTGAAAGATGGAGCCGATCCAGCGTGAGAGCATCAGCTGGTGCCCCGAGTCTCCGGTCGGATCTATTTCTGTCCGGTGCTCTGGCGGTTTCACGTGCAGCCATTCCCGCCGGGACAGATCGATGGCTTTGCACACAGATTACAAAAGGTGAGCTTCATTTATAGCTTCAAAACTGAGATAACGCAGGACGACAAGTGAGAGTCCAGAAACACTCCGGTGGGATGCCATCCGCTGCATACTGATCCAAAGGCATGAGCTTGACATGAAATATCCACATCTCTTTTTTTGGAGTTTCATTGTTGATGTTAACTGGAAACGTATGCCTGTTTGAATTTTTTTGGTCGCTGCTTACTATAAAAATAAATTGGGAGTGGCAGCAGGTTCTGAGTGTGTGTAGAGGGAAAGAAAAGTTGGATCGCGTCCCATTCCTGTATATCTGGCCACGCCGTCTGCCTTAAAAAGTACAGTACATGCTTGAGGCACCTCCACTGTTCAGGCCTTTTTGTTCGCAGTCTTCTCACCTTCCAGAGTATTCCGGCGTCCGTCGGCCCCCACCACCACGTCAAACTCAAAGTTAGCCACGGGGTGATCGGCAGGTCGGATTGCAGCCCTCCACCCAACTCCTGAAAGACGGAGGAAAAGTGAGAAGGGTGAAAAGCACATCATTTAAATCCTAGGAATAGTCCCTTCATGTATGTTGTGCGTTGGATTCCTCCACGAAACACAAAAACACTTCAACAGCCTCCATTAAATCTCTCCTTGTTGGACCACTTTACCATCTTCTGTGCTTATGCAGTTCCAAATCTGTGACTAGAAGGGCAATAGATGAGGAATAACTTTCCTTCAGCACGGTTGCTATTTTGGATTATTTCTGTTATGATGCCAGTAAACGAGCACAAATGCAGCTATTCATTAAAAACTTTGGGTTGCAGGAAAATTAGCTGAATAGCATCAGTGTGGTTTGCTGTAGAGATGATGATGTATAATGTATAATAAATGCCTGAAATATCATCGTACGTGCTGCGGAGGTGTGTAACCGGCACGGTAACTGCTGGGAAGTGCGTTGTGTAACATCATCATGTGGAAAATGCATTCCATGATGTCAAGGGCACAGCTAAGTCTGTCGCACAAGAACAGGAGGGATAAGTCTAAATTTAGGCAAGGCTCTTGTTGTTATCGGTGCATTGCCATTCGAGCTGAGGGGACAACGGTGGGCTCGAGGTTTTCTTCCTCGCAAACTTAGAGGCCACCAGAGGGTCAATCATCTGCAGCGAATGTGCTCAGATGTGAGTTTATCTGAAGCCCTAAATGTAAATTAGCTTTAAAACAAAGGAGACAATGTTTATTCGCTCATAATATTACAACAAGCTGAAGCTGTGTTGAGCATCTGAACTAACTAACAGGGCGGTCAGGCAGCCTCATCGAAATATGATAAAACCTAGATCGGTGCCAATGTTTGTCTCTTGTTTATTGGTGGCTGTCAAGGAAATTAAATACTGCAGGATGAGAGGTCCCTTGCTGCCTAACCAGCTCTGAAGTAGAGCCCAAGCTGCAGAGCAGGAGAGTGAACACAGATCCAGCAGGAAGCTACGCAGTATATCTTTCTGTCTGCGTTAAGTTTAATACTCTGTTAAACTTCTCAGCCTCATCCTACTCAAAGTCCTCGCTGCACAGTTTCCAGCTGTTTAAATCTCCCCCATCTCCCCAAATCTTGCAGATGATAAATCAGCAGATGAAAATAATAGCACTGCAAATTTATTGTTTTGACGTGTAAGTACAGTGAACGTGTGGATGAATACCTTCATTTTCCTGATCCTCTGGAGGTTCCAGCAGCTTGACGAACTCCACGTTGATGTGAAACTCGACTGCAACGATCAGGGCGACCTTCAGCAGGATGAGCTGCAGCTGCTGGATGCCTGATGAACGCAAGAAAAAAATAAGATGAATCTATTGTGCAAGTCTGTTGAAGGGTTGAAGAGA